CCCCAAAACCCCAAAACCCCTTGAAACAATTAATAAGCAATTTTGGATAATGGAAATTTTAAATCTTGTCTGATGTGAATAGTCTGTTTAATTAAGAATTAAGTATAAAACTTTAGATCTTGCTTAAGATTCTTATAAATTAAGTAATCCTTGAAATGGATAAAACTCTTTTGCACAGCAAGCATTAGACTGACGTGGATATTAATTAATTTTCATAAAAAAGATACTTACTGCACAATGCGGCGGCTTTCTCGCTAGGAGTAGCATTAACTTATGCAATGTGTTCATAAACATAGCCAACTTGCTTAGATCATAAATTGGATGGATTAGAAGATACCTAATCACTCTGGCTTGTCGAACCCAAAAATAAGTACTTATGGAATTTCACAAGTCCACTTTAGAGGCTTACTTGGAACCAAGCAAGCCACTTTACAGATATATCCGCCTCACCTAATGGAGATCTTTATGGTATCTAAGACTATGGAGTTGGCAGTAGTCTGAGCAGACTTGGCTACTTTTTCAATTTCGTCAAAGGAGTTTGGAATTAATTTGACAAAGATTTCTAAATTAAAGATATAAAATTTGATAAGGTAGGTAACTATTACCTCTTAGATACTTAGAACTAATTATATGCTAAGAATTCTAAGACTAAGGTCATACTAAAGAATATTAAAGACTACGAAGTCACTGTTACGGGTTAAATTTATGCAATCTCAACAAACATAAAAGAGTCAAATTCATAATAATAGTTAAATGCTTGGATCCAAGGTGAAGGATTCTAGTATAAACTTTTATCATCTGCTTAGTTCTCTAAGCTTGGCTTGAAAGATGAGATGCCAATCTACGTTGATAATAATAGTACAACTGTAGGCTATGGCTATCAATGCGTGAAAGATTTAGCTGTTGGTGTCGACGGAAGTGTCTGGGCTCTAAGTTGCACCAAAGATTCAGAATCGTAAGATTTCTAACTTATTAAATGGGACCCTTTTACTCTGTAATGGTATGATGTGATGGATACCTCTGGAATTAAGATTGCTGCTTACAACGAGATATCTATTTCTATTCTAGATTCATCTGGAAGAATAAGATTCTCTTCAGAGAAAGATAGATACAGTGACATCGATTATTATTAGAGAAAATCAACCACCAATCTTTTCAATGACTCAAAAATCTTGAACGAAACTAGCTTGGACTTCGTTCAAAGTCTCTTAGTTAAACAATACTCAATGTCCATTCTTTGTTACAGAGCGAGCAGAGATGGATTTGCCTCTTAAAATTTCCATTCAGGTTGTGATTACAAAGGACCGACATTGACCATCGTAAAGACTACTAATGGATAAGTTGCAGGGGGATATACCTCCTAATCATGGAAATCAGTTAACAATTATGTTGCTGACAAAGATGCTTTCCTATTCTCTGCTGAAATTGAGGTTCAAATTCCAGCTTTAGGTTCTAACGCCATCTATGATCATGTTAGTTATGGCCCCACTTTTGGAAGTGGTCATGATTTCTATGTTTCTTCTGGCTCAAATGCAAATCAAAACAGCTATACTAATTTGGGAAATGCGTACAAGCCAGCTGAAGGTACATTGTATCAAAATAATGATGCTAGGACTTATCTCCTTGGGTAATACAGCTTTATCACATTTGAGATTGAAGTATATTACCTTCTTTGAGTGAATTATCAAGTCAATTGATTTAATAATATTTTTAATTTCTATAAAAACCATGATAGAATTTGAAATTTGGAAAAAGGGGGTTTTGGGGTTTTGGGG